GCGCCTCCGGCCGCCCGGAAGGTGGGGCGATCCAGCATCCGACCCCGCTGGACTGCTTGGGGAGGAGAAAGTTGTCCAGCCCCGGCGCTCGCGCTGCGGACGGACGGACCGACGGGAAATCGCACTGCCTGGTCGTCTATCTGGTTGGTCGAGGAGCCTTTCCTCTCAGGGCGACACTAGGGGCTGGAGGACTACCTGTGGAGCTCACAGGCTTAGGATGTGCTTCAGGAAGGCTGCACGGGAGGAGGCGAGAGGACTTGAGACTGACTGAAGGGCAATCCGTGGAACTTTAGGTAACCGAGGGTGCACCCACCCACACAAAGGTCTGCTCGTGCCCCCTCACCCTCATAGTTGATGCAGCCATTGCTGTCCTCGTGGCCTGCTAGGACAGTCTCCACCTCCTCCTCAGTCATCTTCTCTCCTGAACCCCAAACACAGTTAGAGCTCCTGCCTCACTAGCCCGAGCCCCCCTCCCACCCTGCCCTTTTCTCTCCATGTGGCCCACATCAGCCTTGCCTTGCAACTGGTGAAAGCTTTGACAGACCACGAAACAAAAGCAAGAGTTGAAACTTGCAGGGAATCAGCACAAGTCTGGCTTGCAAAAGGGGACATGAGGCTGCCAACCTCATTCCCTCTTCTCTGCTCCTTGCTGGACACTGTAGCCTCTGGATGAGCGAGCCCCTCAGATTTCTGCCTCCTCAACTCAGTCCCCCTAAGTCCCTGCCCATGATTGCAGGACTGCACTCCCATTCCAGGCGTTGTGGTCCCACCCCCTTCTCCATCCCACAGTTCTGGTCCCTGCCTCACCGAGAGTGGTAAGAACATGTCTGAGCTCTGCTCCCATGACTTTGCCATTGCCCTCTTTGTCAAACACGCGAAGCCCCTCTAGGTAGTCCTCATATGTGCCTTGGTCCCGGTTCTTGGCTACTGCTTGGAGCATGGGCAGGAACGTCTCAAAGTCCACACGTCGGGACTTGAGCTCTGGAGATTAAAAAGAGGTGAGAGGCCAGGCAGTGGTGGCGCATGCCTTTAATCCCAGCACTCCGGAGGCAGAGGCAGGCGGATCCCTGTGAGTTCAAGGCCAGCCTGGTCTAAAGAGTTCCAGGAAAGACTCCATAACTACACAGAGAAACCCTGTCTCAAAAAAAAAAAAAAAAAAAAAAAAAAAAAAAAGTGAGGTCATTGAGATGTAGGGTCCAGTTGCATCCATTCCTGCCATAGTGATTTTTTATCCCTTCAGCATTCAGGATGTTTTCCTGCCCTGTGTTCAACAGCTTTTGAAGTTCTGAGGTCCATCCCAGCATCCTTCATCACCTTACCAATATTCTGTCATGGAAAACTGATACTGCAGTGAGGCATAACAGCCAGGCAGATTTAAGGCCAGCCAGAACAATTTAGTAAGACTTCATCTCAACAGGAAAATAAAAAAGGAAGCGCTGGGGATGTAGTGAAGTGGTAATGACACATTCGAGACAGAGAAAACTGCTAAGCCATGAGTGGTGGCTCACATCTTCAGTCCCAGCAGTCAGAGGCAGAGGCCGGCAGATGTCTGTGAGTTTGAGGCCAGCCTGGTCTATGTATTGAGTCCCAGGACAGCCAACGTTGTTAGAGCTGCTAGGATAGAGCTGTAGGTTCAAGGGCAGCAGATGCCAGAGTGAAGTCAAGGCTGTCCCCCAAGAAACTTAGTGAGTGTCTCAGAGAGTAAAAGAGCAAGGCTCAGCAATAAAGGGCTTGCCCGTCTTCCACAGGCACCAGATTCCACTCCAGCACCACACAAACTGGAGTGATCCCAGCACTCTGTGGTAGGCAGAAGTAGTCAGGAGGTAGAGGATCGGAATTTAAGGTCATTCTTGGCTAGCATACTGAGACCCTTGTTGTGGGGAGGCGCGAAGAAAGTTACAGGCTGGAAATGGAGCTCAGTTGTGCTTCAGCAGCACATCTACTAAAATGGGAACAATGCCAAGATTAGCATGATCCCAGCACAAGGATGACACACGAATTTGTGAAGTGTTCCATATTAAAAAAAAAAGAAAAGGAAGAAAAGGCCAAGCGGAGCTGGGCGTTGGTGGCTCACACCTTTAATCCCAGCACTCAGGAGGCAGAGGCAGGCGGATCTCTCTGAGTTCGAGACCAGCCTGGTCTACAAGAGCTAGTTCCAGGACAGTCTCCAAAGCCACAGAGAAACCCTGTCTCGAAAAAACCAAAA